TTTGTTGTCTAGTATTGCTAGGAAACTCTTTACTATGAACCAGACTTAGTTAACAGATTGAAACAAAACATAAATATTCTAGCTTTGCTCTGGAAGTTTTAAGTCCTGCAGTCTGTGGTTAACCTTAAAAACTATTTCAAACTACGTCCATGTGTTATTTTTTATAAACAAAAGGAAATGAGTTTGATCTAATGTCAACAGATAGCGCCGCCTTCCAAACTTTAGCCCTTAAGTGTACTCAAGTGGTACCCTTTCTTAATATTCTGAGACGTATTTGCACATATACGTGAAAATATCTTTAATTTGACACCTCAAACGTTAAAATCCGTCAAACCGTTATCGAGTTATGACTGTGAAAAGAAACCTACTTGCGTATTAATATATACGAGAGGTCGTCCAGTGGTCGAAACTCGACCAAAATATGTAATGTAAACTTACTCACTTCTCTATTTTCACCCCACACTGTAAATAAAACATGTGATTGGAGTTTCTTCAATTTGTTTTGATTTTCTGTTTATGTTTCGTTGTTATTTCGTCACCAGCATGGCAACCATAAGATCCATGTTAATTTTTTCAAATTTTTAAACTCATTTTTTGTGCTTATCTTTGAGCCTATTTAAATTTATAAAGGGATTCTGCACACCTACAGGAAAATAGCTTTCTAACGGTATGCGTAGATTTACCCCACGATGCACACGAGCTGAGAAAAAAGGTTTTAAAGAAACATGCTTGCCTATTAATATATAGATAGATAGAAGATTCGTTGACGAATCTAATCAAAATGTTGTCTTTATAAAATTTGAATTCGTATAAAATACACTATGACAATTAGTTGATCGTATATGGTTGCTTATGTAATCTTCAATTGACCCTTTCATATTGACTTTCATATAAAGCGGTTCGCACAACTATTTAGAGGACTGTTGTAAACCGTTATACCGTTTGTTCCGATCCTGAATAAACATTTTATTCGGGACATTTTATTATTCTGTGTGCTTAAACATTTTATTCTGTGCTCTATCACGCACAGGTCATTGTGACCCATGTCATGTTTTTATTTTTATATGTACGAGGTGTTAGCCCGTCCTACGTACGGGAGTAGTCAGAATAAACAAACTCAACGGTGTAGGCCTATAATTCAGAACAGCTAGTTTACACGTATAAAGACAAATTTTATTGCAGCCTACAGTAAAAAGAGTAATTATCAATTGAGAAGTGTATAGGTCTAGTCAATGATATCACCTTCCATCGCATACCCACCTCTTTCATAATCAATATCACCACAATACAATTACTCATACTATACACAATTTCCAGTAAATCTGAATTGAGACTCCCTCAAATAAAACAAAAACATCCAATAAAATTCACAGTACACATAATATAACGTTAGTGTCCTGACATCATTAAACGAATCGTCCACAGATATCCTTTATATCAATTTCACTGCATCAATTGCTAAATAAATAAGTGTAAACAAAGAAATGTAAAAACAACAACATATAGTTTGTTTTGTAAACAGCTGAGTCAAAAATAATATTCATTTGAACAAAAGAACTGGTCACATGTTGAAGAAATTTAAGAAGTAAAAACGCTAGTAGAGCTAGTGACGTAATTAACTGTCTATGTTTATTATCCATTCCGTTATCAGTTCCAATATCCTTGATAATTAAACCACCCTCATTGAATCAATGTACATCGTAATTCCTCATATTAATTTATTTTAACTATAAAATATTCAGCGCCTCCAAACGTAACCACAACTAAACACAAGCAAAACCACTTTTTAGATTTCATAAAAGGATGGTTAGTCTAATTGCAGTATCCTAGGTCAATGATGACGTTGTGTTCAATCTATGTCATTCATCTGTATATCTTCGGATAACACCCGTCTGAGGTTGTGGTGGTAATTTAAAATCGTATTTCTGAGGATTCTTGATCTCCATCTTTATGACATCAATATTTCCGGGCCTAATCCAAACAAAGTTCAAGCATTCAAAAACATTGATTGTAAACAAAAAGCTGCCAAGATGAATTATTAAAACATGTAAAAATTGTGATTTTCCTACCCTTTCCAAAAAAAAAGTTTAGCAGTAAAATAATTTGCATACCTTTTTTTATTAAACTCGTGTACAGAGCCTCAACTTGTACACATCGATGTTGTTACTGTACTTATCTTGGTGGTCTACTAATCTTACTTATTTCCTATAATCAATGACAAAATCAGAGTAAATAACCTCATAGGTCTATAGGGCATTTTTATAACTAACCAGCTGTTAGTTAAAACAAATTATATTGCTCTAAAACAAATCGAAGATTACAAAGATTTCTTTACAAAATAATTTGAACATCCTAGTATTTTACTATGTATATTAAATTAATCTGTCATCCTCTTACAGAAGAATTGAACGTATCAATGATTAGCATTATACATAGTATAAATAAGTCAACCCTAAGTATGTCTTTACATTTTTATCCAAATGCTGAATTTGTGACACAAAAGCTGAATGTTTACAGCTGTTATGTTAAGCAAATTATTTTATGCCAAAAGCTAGTTTAGAATCTTACCGTCGGCTGCTAGACTTTTTAAAAATTAAAACTTAATTTCTAAAAAAAAAAACTGGGACCCTAAACTAAAATTATGGCTTCGACATTCCCTAGTTCCCAAAATTATCTTTCTTTCAACACTTATAATATAATCATGAAAATCCGTCGAGTGGTTGATTCAGAATCGTGAAATAAAAAAACACTGTTTCGTTTTAATATTATAGATTGCTGCGAAATAATTTCCCGCGTTTACGATCCGGAGTGCGCGTTCCCGAGTGATCTCATTACCTCAAGTAATCTCGGTAATCTCTGTGATCTCGGTTGTCAAGTTACCGAGTAAATCTCATTACCGAGTCCTCGGGTTCCTGAGTAAATCTCATTACCGAGTCCTCGGGTTCCTGAGTAAATCTCATTACCGAGTCCTCGGGTTTCCGATTATATCTCCTTAGCGAGTCGTAAAGTGATCTCCTTTCCGAGTTTTCAATTACCACGCCTTTTCAATTACCACGCCAAGTACGTTCTCCAAAAGCCAAGAAGTTTTTGTTGTGTACATTGCGAATCTAATATTTAAAGACATTTCATACAGAACACCTGGGTTTTAGGTCAGGCGCACACAGGCGACTTTGAGTCTAGGAAAAGTTAAAAAGTATGCTATTCTTTTAATCAAATTCATTGAACGGAGTGAGCAAAACTCTTATACGTCGACTTTTATGCATTCCTTAATATATAACATACATATATGCAGATCTATGACAGCTATTTGAACACATATCGGCATGGAATTATCTACGGCGGTGGATAATTACATTTAATTAGATTTGATGGTTCGATATACTGTACTAGAGTGCCTTATCGAACGTCTACGAATATGGTGGTAAAGTCCCCGAAAAAAGTTTGTATTGATTTCACTATTCATTTTGATATAATCGATATATTTTTCCGTATCCACTGAGTTTTATTCAAAGTTTAATCTTTACCTGCAGATCAGTGTGGATATATCACAATAATAAGCAAAAACAAACTAATGGAAAACTTGTATTACCTTGTGTTAAAAATCCAAACACTATTATTGTTAATCAGGGCACAAATTTCATTAAGTTAATTTATAAATCAACAACATAATAAATAACAGTTATTATTTTAAATCGTTCCATGGTTCAAAACGTGTACATATTTGCATTAATTTACATCATTATTTAAAACATTGAGTAAAGAAACATAGTTACGTTATATATATATATTTAATTGATTTTAGAAACAAAATTTAATTGCGTGCAGTTTAGTTTTGTGATATTAATAGTCAGCGAGCTGGTCTAGTGGTTAGAGCTCGGGACTCCGGTACCTGGGGTCCTGGTTTTAAATCCCGCCAAATCACTAATGGACTTCATTTCAGTGATAATGCTGTAACCCCTAGATTTAGCCTGAATTAATATGAAAATCAACTCTGGGCTTGTACCTAGCACCCTAGGACAAAAAAGTCAAATTAAAGCAGTGTTGTAAGAACACAACTGCTAAGGAGATTTCTGTAAATGTAAAAAGAGCTAATGTGAAGTAGATAATAGAAGAAAGTATAAGAGGTAGCTATCTCTGGACAGAATAAAAGTAGGTAAAGTTGAAATTTAGTTTGTAAATTGAATTAAAACACAAATAAAAATGTAAATATTGAGTTAGTAGAATCTTTAAAACTGTAGGCCTACCTGTACATTTATCTCATAGTTTTAATTAACAACCTATTAATCCTGATCCAAACCTTTTTATGAGTTCAAACTTTCAATCAAAAAGCTACCATATCAAGATCATAAAAAAGATTTATACATTGTAATGGCCCTTTTGTTTCCATGGAAATAAGTACATTTTCATAAATATTTAAATCAAAATATTCTCATAATCATAAAACTTTAGAATTTTGGGAGTAGAACTTTTACCTCTTAACCTCTACTGTTTTAACTGTCAAATTATAGTATCTACAGCTGACTTCAATTAATATGTTTTACTTCCGAACGCGAACAACTAAAACATATCGCATGTCGCATGTCCATGATGTTTCCAAATGCGAACAACTAAAACATATTGCATGTCACATGTCTATGACGTTTTCGTATGCGAACAACTAAAACATATCGCATGTCGTACGTCTATGACGTTTTCGAATGCGAACAACTGTGGGATTGTGTGTGTGTGTGTGTGTGTGTGTGCGTGTGTGTGAGTGTGTGTGTGTGTTAATTGGCAGGTGTAATTAAAACTGTCACTCGCATCTGTATTTAATTATTCAACATCGCGTAAGAGAGGGTGTGTTGAGTGGCAGGATTAAAAGCCGTCACACTCATCTTTGTGTAAGGTCATGGGGTGGTGGGTGGTGGGGTGTTTCATCGTGAGGTGGGTCAGCTTATAAACACCGCACTCAGACCCTACCAATTCAGTTCAACGATACAACCGTGTCGTGTATAAAATTCTACGTGTTGTAGTTTTTTATTCTGAACATGAGTTCTGTTCAACAACTAAGCGCTAGGTTTAATTTGCTGGAAAATAAATTTTCCGTCGAGTTATACGTGTACCTTGAAGCGTTAGGGAGCTTTGTTGACAGACAAACAAATGTCAGTATTTTCCTTAAGGGGTTAAGAGGTTTGAAAGCTGACATCCAATATATTGAAAAACTTGCGTTACTAAATCGGTCTTTGAATAAATTGGGCCTAAATCAAGTAAATTGCAGACATTCATGCATTTTGAGTGCAATCTTTATCGTATACAACAATTTCTGTACAATAACAAAAAAAAGCAAGTCGATATTCTTACAAATCTTTCAAGAAATGATATCGCGTTTGGAGACCGAGAAGTTTGACGGCGAAAAGTTTATTGTCAGTTTACTAAAATTAAATTTCACACTGAATGAAGTACTATATAAGAAAAAACCGTCAAGACAACGCTCCGACATGAACCATGTAAGTAATAGTAGTTTTATATTGTATTAAACCTATTTATCTTTATAAGTATAGTTTATAAATATAAATACTTTTTTTAAATGTCACGTTTTTAAACGCACTTAAAAATAGTAAATAAGTAAATATGTTCAGAATTTTGTGCAATGTTTTGTATCTGTATTTCAAATATTTCAACAAATATTTAACCAACCTGTGATTTTTGGACACTCTGTATATAAAATATATATCACAAATTCTGAAGCTACGAAGTAAAGCTGGTTGTTAGTACAAAGAATATTGAAATATAAGTTAAGAGTCGAGCTCCTGTTAAAATTGAAGTTAATATTACATCAGGACCACTAGTATGGCCAAATAATACAGCACATGAAATAAAACTAACAAAATACTTCTTCCCTGTATCAAAAATCAAATAGCAGTTATATCCAAGTAAAAAATCATAAGAATTTATGAAATAATATAATGACATAGGATTATTTGTGTTTACTTTATTTGATTTATAATTTCCATTTTATATTTACAGATTTACCAACGAACCTCCAATATATATGAAGCACGAACCGAACCCCACCCACATAGAAAATTGGAATCTGAAAATCGTTCGGAAACATATGCTGCTATCGTTCCGACCTTCCCATCTTTATGTCCTTCGATGGTATGTAGATCTTTTCATTAGTTAATATAAAAAGGAAAAAATGTTTTATTGTTTAAGCTTCACAATTGTAAAACCTCCATAAAATATGAACTCCACATAATAAAAACTACAGTCAACATTTAAAATAACATACTGCTAAACAATACCATACACTTATTTAACAATGATCAATGTCAACCATCTAGTTGATAACATTTTCTCATTAACAAAACAATTATAACTGTAGGCTACAGTAATGTAAAAGAAAAAAGAATAAATCATTTACACTTTTAACGTCATTATACTAAACATTTTTAAGAGAAAAAAACAATTAAGTAGGTAAAGTAACATCTAAATATTGGTACCTATCTACATATATACAATACCAGAAAGTAATATTAAAAATAAAATTCTTGGATTAAATTCCATCTATAATACCAAACCTCCCTTGAAAATTAAAAAAAAACTCCAATCCTCCCCATTTAAATATAAAATAACATTTTCTCTAAAACAAGTACTAATGCTTTAATAAAATTATCATCTTATTTTGACAGTACTTTTCAAGTGCTCTATTAAAGTCCAGTTTTACAATGAAGGAATGAAATAGGTACCATAGGTAATGATTTTTATCCTGTAAGATATGGTAAAATACTTGCCTATGTCAGAATATCAAGTCTGAATTCAGTCTCCTTAACTTTGTATGAGCAATTACAAATTTAAATTTACCAATTTTCCAAAAGTTTGATGTGCAATATTTCCGGTGGGGCAATCTATAAAAATCCAATTTTTACATTTGTTATGTGCCTATACGGTAGTAACATACAGCAAAAATTTCAATGTTGGTATTTGATCCAGACAAATATTTTAAATTTAAAGGAAACTTCAACTTTTGCGCCAGCTTTAATCACCAGATTTAGGTATATAAAATCTATACACAAGCTAGTAACAATGCAATAGTAAACTTGTTACAAAATTAAAAGCTAGAATGTGTCCAGGAAAAAATATTAAGAACCAAAGTGGTTATGATTGGAAATAAAATATATGTTCAAAGGTATTAGTCATAGTATCAACGAGTACGGATAGAAATGTAGAGACTTTGAAAAAAATAAAGATCCCTTATGCTGTCAGTCGAAAAATCGAGTCTCACAAGGAATTGTTATTTTATTTGGCTTCCATACTATCTGTTTGGAAGAAGACCACCCAATCGGGAGATATATGAATGGTAGTCCACTCACACTTTCCCTCTTCTACAACTAGATTGGCACTCATTGCATCTACTCGCTGGGGGGGGGGGGTACTCGCTGGGGGGGGGGTACTCGCTGGGGGGGGGGTACTCGCTGGGGGGGGGGTACTCGCTGAATGTTACAATATCCTCCTCATCGGGTAGTAAATTTTCTTTAACCACTCTCAATTGCTTCCGACTCTTTTCACTGATCGAGCCCACCTCTGTGGCCCAGTCTTTTTCGATGAGAAAAAGGAATTTTTCAGCCCGGTCGATTATCTCCACCTTTTGTCGGTCTGTCAAAACTGGATCTTTTATAGCATCCGATTTCACAATATTCGCACAGCTTTTCAGTGCGGAACAGAGTCTCGGAGAAACACTGGGAGTCTTCATGTTTCCACTGGCAGCAGTTAAAATAAGGAACAAAACCCAAATAAAACCATACTTAACAGAAAATTTGCTACAAAAAGCTGAAGAGAGAATGTCACCCATTTGAAGTACATACAAAACACAAATTCATAAAAAATCATAGAACAAAGCTATGAAAATCCTACTATCCTACTAATAATAATATTATAAATGAGAAAGTTTGGATGTATGGATGTATGGATGTATGGATGTATGAATGTATGTTTGTGACAAGTGAACGCGAAAAATACTGGTCGGATTGGGCTGAAATTTGTTACATTCCCGATTAACATATAGGCATATTCTTATTTCAAAAATCCTTTCGGGCTCCACCCCAGTGGCTCTGGAGGTTCCCATGTTAACCTTATGAGACATGGAATTATTGAATCTTAACAGCTGCTGTTTCAATTAAACAAGTTGGTTCTGTTCTATGATGTTCAATAGCATTAAAGTTACAAGGATTACCAACAGGGTGCAGCACTATTATTTCTTTTACATTTATGACAACAGCTAATTTGCAACCAAAAGGTGAGTGAGCGTAGCGAACGAACTTCAACCTGGAGGCGAGTTAGCGTAGCGAACGAGCTAACCTGAAGGCAAGTGAGCGCAGCGAACGAGCTCCAACCTAAAGGAGAGTGAGCGTAGCGAACAAACTTCAACCAGGACGTGATTAAGCCATGCGAACGAGATAATCTTGAAAATTAAGAAGTTAAACAGGGCAAAGCCCGCGGGTTACAGCTAGTAAATGTATTGTACTTTAATTAACAGACAAAAATCTATCTATATCTATCTATCTATATATTAATAGGCAAGCATGTTTCTTTAAAACCTTTTTTCTCAGCTTGTGTGCATCGTGGGGTAAATCTACGCATACCGTTAGAAAGCTATTATCCTGTAGGTGTGCAGAATCCCTTTATAAATTTAAATAGGCTCAAAGATAAGCACAAAAAATGAGTTTAAAAATTTGAAAAAATTAACATGGATCTTATGCGTTGCCATGCTGGTGACGAAATAACAACGAAATATAAACAGAAAATCAAAACAAATGGAAGGAACTCCAATCACATGTTTTATTTACAGTGTGGGGTGAAAATAGAGAAGTGAGTACATTACATATTTTTGGTCGAGTTTCGACCACTGGACGACCTCTCGTACTTATTTAATACGCAAGCAGATTTTTTGTGACAATTACTCCTCCGAAACTACTGAACCGATTGACATGTTTTTTGTGTCATTGGAAAGAGCGTAACGTGAAGTTGTGCAGGACACTTTTTTAAAGGGAAATAATTAGAGAGTGAGGCCCTGGGGCCCTTTAAAGTTTCGTATTTCTCCATAAGATTAACATGGGAAACAAACATTGTTATGAAACTCCAGCTGTTGTCAGAAATGCTGTTCTGCTATTTAATTTAATTTGTTTACAAGGAGAATTGGTTCTTGGTGCCATGTGGTTAATGAATTATACTTTAGCATACATATTTTAAATGCTATACACTATATAAAATGATAGTATTGTAATACATTGAGAGATCTTCATTTGAATAATCAATAAGCAAGATTGAGCCTTTGCCTATATGTTTCCTGGTAAGTGTGTTGTAACTGTTTCTTATAGTATATTATAGTAGTGTTACAAGTCAGGAGCCCCGCGCAACAATAGCCAGGCGCCGTCTCAAAAGGGTTGTTTGTTTACACGGGTTTCTCCGTACGTGCCAGTGAAAGACAATAGACCCATGTCAACGGACTACGTCAATAGGGTCTTTGACATCCACCAGAAGCTTCTACGGTGATCTGTAAACAGCTTTGTTTGGGCTACTAGGTGCCTCCAGAATGTTCCACGGTAAACTTATATAAGGGACCGTCTTCCGGCACACGGCAGTTGAGTTGAGTTGAGCCTTCCGAGAATCGTCGCAGCAAGCGCCCGTCGGTGTTAGTGACCAGTGCTAGTGCTAGTGGCAGTGACAGTGTAGTGACGGTGTAGAGACAGTGTAGTGACACTAGTGACAGTATAGTGACAGTGTTGTGACAGAAGTAGTGATAAATCCTGTAGAGGCTAGCTGTAAGTAGAAACATTGTTAATTAGAATAGGCTTTAGCTAGGTTTAGATAGGGTTAGTTAGGTGTTAGGTAATTCTAATATTTGTAAATAAAGAGTAAATAGTGTAAATAAATAGTTATTATAAAATCGCCAAGTTTTATTTGTAAAGAACCTGCTAAGCCCGTAACAATTGGTGTCAGAAAGCGGCATTATTTTGGCGATTTTAATTGTAAAATATTGAGTTTAATTTTAGTTGTATTAGATATTAGTAAGATTCAGGGTCTTTGTTACATAGTAGTAATTTGTGTCGTAATTTTGTTACAAAGGAAAAAATCATTTGTTGTAAAATTATTTTAATTGTTCTGCATAAAAATGGCTTTCAAAGGTGTAAAACTTGATGAATTAAAAGTAGCTGATCTTAGGAGAGAATTAGAAGAACGAGATCTAGATACTAGTGGAACTAAATCAGCCCTTCAAGCACGCCTTAAACAAGCTTTAATTGAGACAGGTGAAGATCCAGATAACGTTTTATTTGAAACATCTGATGTCAATAAAATGCTTAAAAACTTGGAGTCAAAAATTTCAGAAACTAGTAAAAACCTAGAAGCTAATATTGAGTCTAAAATGTCAGAAAATAACAAAAACTTAGAGTCAAAAATGTCAGAAAATAACAAAAGCTTAGAAGCTAGCATTGAGGCAAAAATGTCGAATGTAGAATCAAAAATGCTGAACAAAATAGATGAATATTCGAGCAAAGTTGATAGTTTAGAAAGTAGAATGAATGAAATGGATGAGAAGTTTAATTGTTTAAAAAAAAATCTAGAAGATAGGTTAGTTGATAAGCTTAGGCAGGAGATGGCTGTATCGGGGAGCTTCACACCTGCGTCATCGGCTAGCACTGGCGAACTTCAGCAGGACAACGCCCTAGAAACGATCTCCAAGCCAGCGCCGACCATTGCTGCCGTTGCCCCTCAGAATATTGTTCCTAACTTCGATGGCAAAACCCCCTGGGAGGACTACATGCTTCTCTTCGAAACAGCGGCTATGGTCCATGGGTGGACCGAGGAGACAAAGGCTTCAGCACTGTGCCTTGCACTACGGGGCGATGCATTAGCTGTTCTGCATGCTATGCCAATGGCGGAGCGGAAGAACTTCGCAGAATTAGTAAGAAGATTGGACATGCGCTTTGGACATCGACATATGGACCAGCTCTACCGATCACAGTTGCGGAACCGGATCCAGAAGCCCAGCGAGTCACTCCAGGAGTTTGAAGCCGACATTGCTCGCCTGGTGAGAAACGCCTATCCATCGGTCACGGATGATGTCTACGAGAGTTTGGCGGTGGATAAATTCCTAGATG